ACAACACAAGCTCAACTTCACAACGAAGGGGCGGCTGGTTGTCAACATATAACTTTCTAGTTTCAAAGTCAATTTCAACTTCACAGCGAAGGATATTGGCCTTGAAACAACACAAATATTTGGATTTCAACTTCACGATGAAGGATATCCAATTTGAGGCTTAACTTCACAACGAGGGTGCTATCCACGGTTTCAACTTCACGACAAAGGGAATCTTGCCCACCAAAGGCCTTCGAGTTCGACTACGCTTAGCTCCAATGCACATCATTTGCAGCATAATTAAGTCGAGAAGGGTTATCTGCCAACCAAAAACCTTCGAGTTCGACTACGCTCAGCTCCAAGGCACATCATTTGCAGCATAGCTTAAATCGAGAAGGGCTATCTACCAAAGACCCTCGAGTTCGATTACACTCAGCTTCGAGGGTACATCATTTACAACATAACTCAAGGCTAGAAGGGTTATCTGTCACCAAAAGACCTTCGAGTTCGACTACGCTAACCTCCAAGGCATATCATTTGTAGCATAACTCAAGGCTAGAAGGGTTATCTGCCATCAAAGACCTTTGAGTTTGACTACGCTCAGCTCAAAGGCACATTATTTGCAGCATAACTTAAGTCGAGAAGGGCTATTTGCCAACCAAAGGCCTTCGAGTTCGATTGCACTCAGCTTCGAGGGCACATCATTTACAGCATAACTCAAGGCTAGAAGGGTTATCTCTCACCAAAAGACCTTCAAGTTCGACTACGCTCAGCTCATAGGCACGTCATTTGCAGTATAACTCAAGGCTAGAAGGGTTATCTGCCAAAGACATTCGAGTTCGATTACACTCAGCTCAAAGACAACATCATTTGCAACATAGCTTAAGTCGAGAAGGACTATCTGCTGAAGACCTTTGAGTTTGATTACATTCAACTCAGAGGCAAATCAAGCTTACAGTATGGGTCAAGGCAAGAAGGGCTATCTGTCAATAAAATTGTCGAGTTCGATTCCATTTAGCTCGTTGATACCTCAATCACACTACTGTCTGGTTACAATCGAGGTTTTTCAAGTCGAGAAAAAGACCCGGGTTAAACGCGCCTCAATGACCAAAAAACATTTCCTGAGAGCATAGCTTAAGTCGAGAAAGCTATCTGTCAACGAATACCTTTCGAGTTCGATTTCATTTAGCTCGAAGGCCTGTCAACTACATGGTGGGGTCAAATAACTACTTTCCAGCCGAATTTTAACCAAGGTCTTTAAATAGAGAAGAATACCGAAGTTTTGGCAACGAGAAGCCACATTTCGAGTCAAATTCTGAACTACTGCTTCAACTCCATATTATTTCGAGATGGACTCGACTTCGCGACGGAGGGGCCATCCGTAACTCAAATTCGACAGGGAGTTATTCCTAATTCAAATCAATTTTTAGCTCTACCGAGCGAAAATTTGTGTCTTTTTTATCTTTGTCCTATTTTTCGTTCCACGAAAAATGACAAAGAGGGATAGCTGTAGACACTCATTTTTGCATGCAGTTATTTTGTTATATATATATATATATATATATATATATATATATATATATATATATATTATATATATACATATATATGTATATAGTAATATAGTTTGTGAAAATGTTTTTGACAAAATATAATATATAATTTTCAGAAAACAATTTTCGAAAATTTATATATTATATAGTTTTTGAAAATATTTTTAAAAAATATATAATATATAGTTTTGAAAACATTTTGAAAACATTTATATATTATATAGTTTTTAAAACATTTTTGAGAAATTATATAATATATAGTTTTTTAAAAAACATTTTTGAAAAATCATATAATATATAGTTTTAAAAAGATTTTTGAAAAATTATATAATATATAGTTTTAAAAAATATTTTTGAAAACTTATATAATATATACTTTTTAAAATATTTTTGAAAATTATATAGTTTTTAAAAAACATTTTTAAAAATTATATAGTTTTTTAAAAACAGTTTTGAAAATTCATATATAATATATAGTTTTTAAAAAAACATTTTTAAATTTTTTTATATTATATAGTTATTATTATTATTTATTTTTATTTCTCATTTATTTATTTCTTTTTGTTGTTTCAGATCCAATGGTCCAAGCTTTAGGTCCAACACGGGGCTTAGCAAGCCTGATCTAGTTTGTCGGATTTAGGGTTTGGGAACCCTAAAACAGAAACAACTTAGGCACCACACGAGGGGGCAACAAAGGGTCAAACCGCACAGATCAACAGCCAGCGAGAAATCCGGCCAAGAAACAACCGAGGCAGTCAGGCCCGGTTAAATCGGGACTGACCCATCCCGTTTTAGCCGATCAACCACGAACGATCATGCAAACAAATATCTCGGAACAACTCCGTCATAATCGGAGCAAGCCACCAGTGGGGTGGGTATAAATACCCCCACAGTCGAACGACAGAAAGAGGGAACAAAAACCACACGGCGAAAACAAACAACACCAAGCATCATCATCGTGAGTAAACGATCATCGGTGGAACACAAAAAAACAGTACACCAACTGCCACCAAGAAAACAGTAGTCAACGTCGAATATAGAGAACACATAAACCATCAACCAAACACTTTCGAAAACAACCAACCACACAACCCACAGGGGAACGAAACAAAAAACGACATAACACACGCATAAATACATAACCAAAAACGGAAGCATCAACCACAAAACCAAAGGCCTTGGGAAAACGAAGGGACACTGACGATAAAGGGTGAGAACCGAAGTTCTTTCTCTAGATCTACGACTATCGGGGCTTGTATTGGTAATTTGGGGTTTAGTTTTGGGTTTACGAGAACGAGGGGACTATTTTAAGGGGTTATAAGTTTTTCGGCCACCGTCGTAGGTGGCCGACGCGGCGGACCTGCCTTCTTCTCCGGCGAGGAGTGGAGAGAGTTATTATTATTATTATTATTATTATTTTGGATGTATTTAATTTTCATTGTTATTTCTATTTTTGACATTTTTGACATTTTTAGATTCCCAACCAATCAAAGGTAAACAATTCGAATCGAATACTATTAAATTTTAATTTTAATTTTCTATTTTCGTAATTAAAGACAACCAGTAAATTAATTGGTACCTAAAGGGCGGTTCAAGGGTGTTAATCCTTCCTTGACCGTAACCGACTCCCGAACTCAACACATCTCTGGTGTAACGCAGATCAGGTAAGATGGTGTCCGATCTACCTAAATATCATTTTAAAGTGATCGGTGGCGACTCCTAATCCATTTTCCTAAGTCGAAGCCCAATTCAGGGGCCCATCCGAAAGACGATTCCGATAAAAATAAAATTTGAATATTAATATTATAAACGAATCAAATTCAACTAAATTTAACTAAAATCATCTATGAGTTAACCTAAGAAAAATAAAATATTTAATTTTAAATATCGATATTATAACTGAATCAGGAATCAATAATTATAGGGTAAATTACATATTTAATCAATCAACTATCTCTTTGATTCTACTTTGGTCACTTAACTATTTTTTTAAATCATATATAATGTTACGTTTTGGTTTCATTTATGTCACATATTGGTTTCATTTACATCATCATTGAAAAAATAAAAAAAAATTATCAAGTCAAGAGTTTTGTTTATTTTTAACTGTAAATAAGAAAAATAGAACTAAAATGTAATGTTAGGTAAGATTTTAAAGAACAAATAGTTAGATGACCAGACTAAACACTTAGTTTACCTATAATTATATCAACCAAAAACAGACTCATTCTTTTGGACTTATCGTGTAATAGCCCTAGGAAGAATGAAAGAAAGAAAGGGAAAAAAGTTACTTGACATTAACGCCAAGGACTCTTCTGAGAGTAATAAACTACTTCTGCAACACCACACACCAGCTTCATTCACCCTCGATCTCTCCGCCGTAAATTACCTTCCCTGTCTTCCAACATTCTATATTTCATCTGTTAGACCAAATCTCAAACCCCATTTTTCTGCTCTTCTTTTTCTTTGTAATGCTCATCATTTGAACTGGATCCCTTCGCTTTCCCACATTTTTCATCTTCGATATTTTGAAGGTATTTATGCTACATGACCCTGTTTACTCAACCGGTTTTCTTTTTCTTGGTCGTTTGACCTTTTATTTTTCTTTTAATGTTAGCCTTCTTTTTTGACTTGATGTCTTCTATTTCGTTGAAGATTGGATTTTTGACTCCGGAAAAAAATTGATTTTATTTTGACTTGTTTACATTCTCGCATGCCATTTGAATTAATACTTCAGGATGTATTTTGTTGTATTTTTTATTTACCCTTTGATGATTGGTTCCTTAGAAAACAGGAAAAATAAAAGAAAAAGAAAATAAGATCTAAAACACCTTAGCTAGAACCCGAGAAACTTCCTTTTGGGGGAAGCTTATTTCATTGAAATTTTGCTTTTGACGTGTTGATAATTTTGAGGGTGAAATTTATAGTCATGCTTGTTTGCCCTTATTGTGTTCTTTCTTTGATGTTTGGTTCTTAAGAGCGGAAAAAATGATGGAAGGTTTTGTGGTAACTTCCAAAACTGATTAGCACCCAAGAAATTTCCTTTCGGAAGTTTGCAGGCAGAATATCGGCTGTTAAATAGTGAGCATAATACTTGTATATCTTGGTTCTGGATATATTAAAATCAGGATTATGCTTAACTTGTTAAACAATCTTGTGTTATGAAGTTGATAATGATAATAGGAACATTGTGTCTTTTTCTACCTAAGCAGCTGCATAAGCACTTTTTCATGCAATGGCTGGTAGCTGGCCGAAGTTTCCTATGAGAAATAACCATTTTTTCTCTGGTACTTTCTATTTGGTTTCTTATAAAATCACTCAGATTTCTACCTTCCTAAGAGATAGCGGAAAAGAAAAGGGCTGAAATTTCGGATACTCATTTTTGTATAATGGTAATGGTTGAGTGTGATTATGTTTTCAGGAGCACTGAAGAAGATATATTCTTCTGGGGAACAAAATCTTATAACCATGACTGGTTATGTTGTCACTGCGCTTGTTCCTATTGTTTTTACATTTTCTCCTTCGAAATGCAAAGAAGGTGAAGAAGCGAGGGGTTCCAGTCGATGTTGGTGGGGAACCAGGGTATACAATCCGAAACAGTCGGTTCCCTTCCCCTGTTGAAACATCATGGGAAGGCATAACTACTCTTGCAGAACTTTTTGAACAGGCATGTAAGGAACACTCAGATAAACCCTTGCTTGGAACTAGGAAATTAGTTTCAAGGGAGCTTGAAGTGACTGAAGATGGAAGGTCCTTTGAGAAGCTTCATTTGGGAGAATATGAATGGTTAACATATGCGAAAACATTTGAAGCTGTGTGCAATTTTGCTTCTGGATTAATTCAACTTGGTCATAAAAAGGAAGAGCGTGTTGCAATCTTTGCTGATACGAGAGAAGAATGGTTCATTGCACTGCAGGTCTTATATCTTCTGGAATTTTGGTTAAATTTTCAAAGCTTGATAATATATGTGGTACCTTTCCACAGGTTAGAGAATATAACTGATACATTTCCTTTTTTCAGGCCTGCTTTAGGTGCAATGTCACAGTGGTGACCATATATGCATCTTTAGGGGAGGAGGCTTTATGTCACTCGTTAAATGAGGTTCCCCCTTTCTCTCTCTATGCACATATTGATATTCTCTTAATTTTTTCCCATTATTACCAGTTCCAGTGCCAAAAGTTCTATTTTTATTTGGGTATAAAGTAAATATTATTATGTGCAAAATTGTTTTTGTTTTTTTTGGATAAATGAATTTGCAAAATAATAAACTTTTTTCTTGCTACATTGGTGGAATGTGTTTTTGCTCATTTTCTACATGTTTAAATAGATTCTTAAGTTATCATGCATTGTAACAGTATTGCCTGCATCTTATAATGTGCTACCGTGTGGAAAAAGTTGTGATTCAAAGGATTAATTTTATTGAAGTTCTCATGGTTTCCACATTCATTAATGATATTTATGTAATTATACGATTTTTTCTATTCCAGACTGAAGTTACAACAGTGATTTGTGGGAACAAAGAGCTAAAAAAGCTAAACAGCATTAGTGGGCAACTTGACACCGTCAAACGTGTGATCTGCATGGACGATGAATTTTCCACTAGTGCAAGTGGCAGATGGGAAATAACTTCTTTTGCTGATGTTGAGAGTGTTGGTCGTACAAATCCCGTTGATACCGATTTACCTGTTGCAGCTGATGTTGCAGTGATAATGTATACTAGTGGAAGTACTGGATTGCCCAAGGTTCTAAGCATCCACTTTTGCTCTTGTTCAATTTTCTTACAGATTTTGTAGGTACAGATATGCTTCTGGTTTAGCAAGCATGATGCTATCTTTGAGGATTGCAAAATGGTTATTTTTTTCATATTGTTAAGCCGCTTGAAATACATGAAATTTGTATAGGGTGTGATGATGACACATGGCAATGTTTTAGCTACAGTTTCTGCAGTCATGACTATTGTTCCCGGACTTGGAAGCAAGGATGTTTATCTTGCTTATCTTCCCCTTGCTCATATTCTTGAATTAGCAGCTGAGGTATGTATGCTTGTCTAGGATTGGTTTACAGAGATTAATGGCAACTTGATTTTGATCTCTGTTTATGTTTTTGAATTTGTTTACCTGTTGTGTGTTAAACATATGTAACTTTCTTTTTCCTGTTGTAGAATTTAATTCCTGCTGTTGGAGGTGTAATAGGATATGGAACCCCTTTGACTCTCACTGATACATCTAACAAGATAAAAATGAGAACAAAGGGAGATGCCTCTGTGTTAAGTCCAACTGTGATGGCAGCTGTACCGGCAATTCTTGATCGTGTTCGAGATGGAGTACGGAAGAAGGTTAGAAAATTCTAATTCTTCAAATGTATTGTATGACTTTATATGTATATACACTGTTAATAAGCTCATTTCTATCATTATCCATTTTCAAATTTTAGGTAGATGCAAAGGGTGGACTGGCCAAGAAATTGTTTGACTTGGCTTATTCCCGTAGATTATCTGCAATAAATGGTAGTTGGTTCGGTGCCTGGGGACTGGAAAAGTTTCTGTGGGACTTTCTTGTGTTTAAAAAGGTACGAGCCATTCTTGGTGGCCGCATTCGGTTTTTGCTATCTGGTGGTGCTCCTCTATCTGCGGATACTCAGAGATTTATTAACATCTGCCTTGGGTTAGTATGTCCTTGCAATTTGAGTTGATCTTTATTATAATATAAATTTATGGATTCTATGGTGCTGCTCTTGCATACACAGGCACACAACGGTCACAAGCACATTTTTAGTTCTATAACAGTTGGTCTAAATTTAATGAAGATGTTATTTGATGAACTGAGAAATTATGCTGGTTTATAGAATATACAATAGAATTTTATCAATATTTCACATATTGGTTGGTATATTAGGGTAACTTATCAAATGATATAAAATCTTTTAAGAACATTGACTGAATGCAATAAATAGCATTTACCTACTTAATACTTTTACCATTCGTAACCGTTTGGGAAGTTTAATGACCAATTTTAACTTTTGAAACTTTAGTGACAAAAAAATATCATTTCAACATAGTTTAGTGATCATTTGTGTACTTTAACCCCAAAAAAAGGGTACATGGGATGACAAATAGGTTCTTGGTGTGTGATCATAGAGATATTTTCAGCTGACAATTATATTTTATTCATTTTTATTAATTTTTAAGTATCATGCTCTCATCTGATTTCATTTTTCAGTGCTCCTATTGGTCAAGGGTATGGTTTAACTGAGACTTGTGCTGGTGCCACCTTCTCCGAGGTCGACGATACATCCGTTGGTCGTGTTGGTTCTCCACTTCCTTGCTCCTTTGTCAAGGTAAGGGATGTTTGTGATTATTTTAACTCGAGCAGGATGACTTTGACCGGCTCACGTTCTTTACTTAAATATTCAAACGAATTCCTTTTAGAGTATTCACTTTTTAGGCTGTGTGAGGTTTTTCTTAACTGTGTGAGGTTTTTCTTAATCTTTCCTGTTGATGGATGCATTTTTTACTTCAATCTTATTGCATTATGGATTGTTTATTTCAGTTAATAGATTGGCCTGAAGGTGGATATTTAACTAGTGATTCACCAATGCCTCGTGGAGAAATCGTGGTTGGTGGTCCTAGTGTAACTCTTGGATACTTCAAAAATGAAGAGAAAACAAAAGAAGTATACAAGGTTGGCTTTCGAACTTTTTCGTTTCCACATTCCGTTTCTCGTTATACTTAAAGTTATCTCCTACTTAAATATGACTGTTCTAACCTTCTGATGTGTAAAAGGTTGATGAGAGAGGAATGAGGTGGTTCTATACAGGTGACATAGGACAGTTTCATGCCGATGGCTGCCTCGAGATAATCGATCGCAAAAAGGATATAGTCAAACTTCAGCATGGGGAATATGTCTCTTTGGGAAAGGTATGAATGCGTGTTTCTAATGAAACCACGTTCTTTGGATGTCCCAGTTAACTAATCTCTTCTACAGGTAGAGGCAGCTCTCAGTGTCAGTCCCTACGTCGACAATATCATGTTGCATGCAGACCCGTTCCATAGTTACTGTGTGGCTCTTGTGGTGGCTTCCCAGCATGCAGTACTAGATTGGGCTTCAAAGCAAGAGGTTGCTTTTACAGACTTTGTGGACTTGTGTGAGAAAGAAGAAACAATCAGGGAAGTACTTTCGTCTCTCGTTCAGGTAAATCTCTACTCTCTAGAATAACATTTTAGTGATCTTACCTGAATATTTATGTATTTTTGCAACATATTGCAAACACATTCTTTAAACTTGGGGAACTATCAAGTGCAACAGTTACTTGGAGCACGTATCCTCTGGGTATTCAGATGGAGAAAAAGTAGTGATTATAATTTGATTTTGATTTTTATATGCAGATGGGGAAGAAGGCACGATTGGAGAAGTTTGAGATTCCGGCTAAACTGAAATTGCTTTCTACTCCATGGACACCGGAATCCGGGCTTGTCACTGCAGCTCTTAAGATCAAGAGAGAGGCGATCCGAAAAGCTTTCTCGGAAGACCTGGCTAAGTTATATGCATAATAGTTTTAAGAGGACTTGCATGTTTTTACTTGCCACGACCCCAAACTAGTTTCAGAATGAACACATTCCTTGTGGTTGTCATTGCAATTCATGTTTCATTCCAAAGGAACCACCACTGGTCTTCTTTGTTACAATTCAATAATTATAATTCATCACCGTTAAAATTAATTTCTGGTTTTCTTTCGTCTTCTACGGTACCAATTTTGCTTGTATTGTGTGAATGAAAATGATCCATCCCTTCGTAAAAGGATTCGTCCTTTAGGTTTTCAATCATGGAATTTTTTTAAATTTCTTTTAAAGGCTTTAAAGTTGGATTATATTCGTTTGTACTAAATAAATAAAATTTTAGAAAACAGTCCCCTAGATTAATAATTATATTTTTTTAGTTTCATAATTAAACCTAAATTTTAAAATTTTTAACTCATTACTAAAATTAACTTTTTTTATAATATAGTCCCTATAGGTAATGGATTTTGCAATTAAAGAGTTTTTAAACTTGTTTCAGCTAAAAATTTGTATATAGCTTGTATGAATGTTGTATTGAATTATGATAGCTTAAGATTTAATTTTTTGCATGATTAAATATGATAAGTTTGAAAAGATGAAATTACCCTTAAGCATGTTTAACCATTTTTCGCAAAAAAAAAAAAAAACTTATGTTCTTAGTTAGTTCTCGATTTAATTAATAATTGACATTCTTCTGTGGTATATTTATACTGTATAAATGAATAAATGTTTTTGTTTTAATCATGCTCCAAAGTAAACTCCAAGTAAGAATTTGTTTCAAGTCAATTTTTAGGGCAAACTGTTGGACTCTTGTTCTAATCATTACCCTTAAGCATGTTTTACCATTTATCGCAAAAAAAAAAAACCTTATGCTCTTGTTTAATAATAATTTACATTCTTATGTGGTATATGTCGCGGACACCTTTCGGATGAGCCTAGAATTGTGCTTCGACTTAAATAAAATACGTTAGAGTCGCCACTAATTATTTAAATAAATATTTAGGTTGATCGGACACCATCTTACCTGATATGCGTTTTACCAGAAATATGTTGGATTCAGGAGTCGGTTACAGTCAAGGAAGGATTAACACCCTTGAACTGCCCTTTCGATACCATTTTAATTTGTCGGTTGTCTTAATTGTGAAAATTAAAATTTTAAAGATTTAATTCGAATTACTTACCTTTGATCGATTGAAATTACCTCTAAAAAGTTGAAAACATTAGAATATAAAATAAAGAAATATCAAATACAAATTAAATTTTAAAAAAATCAAAGAAAGAAAAAAAAATGTTATATAAAAGATGTTAAAAGGAAAAAATGAAGAAAATATTAAATTTCAGAAAAGAAAAATAATAAAATATAAAAATTGTTAAAAGAGAAGATAAAATAAAACAAAACAAAATAAAAAAGAATTGGGAAAATAAAGATAAAACAAAATAAAAAAAGAAGTGCTAAATTTTTAAAACAATACAAGGAGAGAAAAAAAGGTAAAATTAAAGGTATAATAAAATAAAATAAAAGATAAAATAATAAATAATAGTAGTAAAAATAAAAATGGTTTTTAAAAGTTATTTTTAAAATAAAATATAAGAATTAAATGAAAGAAAATAATTAAATAAATAATCTAAAGAGATTGAGATAAAGAGAAACTTATAGTGAAAGCAACCTCAGAAATTCTTCGGATCTTTGAAACAGATCTTTTCTTCAAAATTCACATCGACTTACAAGGACAATTTTTCGCTGCCGACTCGGATTATATTGTTTCAACAATAACTGGTTCTGATCTCAGTTTCCTCTAAGCAAACAATTTTGCTAATTGTGTTATCAGAAAGTCGAATATGAATTCTTACGTTTGGAATTGAGCCTTCGTTTTAACCTTCGGCTTAAAAGAAAATTAGCTAAGCATGACCAAAGTCATACTTAGCATAATAAACGAATTTTTAAAGAAAATAAAGAAGTGTGCAAAAAATAGAGAGAAAGCTAGAGAGAAAAATGAGATTTTATTCTCAGATGTGTTTGTTATTAGGCTTACCCTGAGAGGATTTTTATAGCCTTCAAATTCCTAAAAAAAACTAAAGATAATTTCTAAAAAAATATCTTTTATCCTAATTAAAACACTTAAAACTATTTAAACTAAAATACCTAAAACAAAGATAAAATAAAATAATTTTTAAAATAATATCCTAAATCCTAATTGAAATACTAACATCTATTTAAACTAAAATACAAAGATAAAATATAATATTACTATATATACTAAATAAGCCTCGGATAAAAATGAGTGTCTACAGCTGTCCCTCTTTGTCATTTTTCGTGTAACGAAAAATAGGACAAAGATAAAATGACAGAAATTTTTGTTCGGTAGTTGCATATGACTTCTCCATCATGAAGTTGAGTCAGTCTTGAAATGATATCCTTCTTCATGAAATTGGAATTTGAATCGGAAGGTGGCTTCTTGTTGTCAAATCGTAGTCAACCTTGGTATTCTTCTCGGTTTAAAGACCTCGGTTTGAAAATTCAACCAGAAAGTAGTTTCTCGATGCTACCATATGGTTGATATGCCCTTGAGCTGAATGGAATCGAACTTGAAAGTTTTCGTTGACAGAGAACCCTTCTCACCTTGAGCTATGTTGTAAATTCGGCTGGGAGATAGTTCCTTGTTGCTAAATCGTAGATGACTCATTTGTTGTGGAATTGAGTTGATCCATTAGGCACGATATCATTCTTCATGAAGTTGAAATCGTTAGTGGCTCATTCGTTGTGAAGTTGAGCTTTGAACTGAAAAATCCTGAGCACGATATCCTTCGTCGTGAAGTTGAAACCGGGCTCAAAGCATTGGAAAGTCGCTCTTGTATCTTCTTCTAGCCCAATATACTTCGTCGTGAAGCTAAAATTTGACCTGAATACTTTGGTATGAAACCGGTTTTTCATTGTTATGTTACATATGACTCATTAGTCGTGAAGCTGGGTCAATTTTTTGGGTACGATATCCTTTGTTGTGAAGTTTAAATCGTAGGTGGCTTCTTCGTTGTGAAGTTGAGCTTTGAACTGAAAAATCCTGAGCATGATATCCTTCGTCGTGAAGTTGAAACCGGGCTCAAAGCATTGGAAAGTCGCTCATGTATCGTCTTCTAGCCCAATATACTTCGTTGTGAAGCTGAAATTTGACTTGAAGACTTTGGTATGAAACTGGTTTTTCATTGTTGCGTTACAGATGACTCATTCGTTTTGAAGTTGGGTCGATATTTTGGGTACGATATCCTTCGTTGTGAGGTTAAAATCATATGTGGCTCTTTCGTTGTGAAGTTGAGCTTTGAATTGGATATCCTTCGTTATGAAGTTGAAATCTAATCTTGTAAATTGAATCGCTTTGTGAATAATATCTTTCGCTATGAAGATGAGCTTTGAATTGGATGTCCTTCATTGTGAAGTTGAAATCCAATCTTGAAAATTGCATTGGCTGGAGTTTAATATCTTTCGTTGTGAATTTGACATTGACTCTAACAAGAATAATTTGGAGGGAAATCTTCAATCTCTGGTTGTCAGTCCTGATGACTCTTGATTCTGGAATCTTGAATTTCTAATCTTGATCTTGGATTCTCCACCATGTTTAAATCCGATGTATAGAATTTTATTTCTAGTCTTGGTTTGGGTGATGCCTTTCAGTTATCTCAGGTATGGTGCATAAGCCTTGATCGGCTTCTGAATATCTTCTAGAAACTGTCACGTCAAACCGTGTCATGCCCAGAGTCATGTCCATGTCTCCAGCCGTGACCAAATAAAAAAAAAATTAGAATGCCTTCCTTTTAGTGCAATTTCCAGAATCTAACGTCCTGCACAGAAAAAGAATTAAAACGAACAAATAAGCCACAAAAACCAATGATTAAGGAGTAATTTAAAAGCAAAATATTAACTAAATTAAGCACTTATCAAATTCCCCCTCACTTATTCAATGCTTGTCCTCAAGTATTCCTCAATTAACATATCAAAATCATAAGTTGTCATCTTCAATTTCAAATTATTCCTCAAACTTCCAATCGAACTAAGTCCATGACATTTGCTGAATTCAAGTTACAATCAAGCAAAGACACAACTAAGAAAATTTAAAGTAAGAAAGAAATCCCAATTAATTGTCAATTTCAATGAAACACGACTCAATACTTACAAAGATTCACACATATCTGCTCAAAGTGTTTGGGGTGAATGACACTCAAACAAAAACTAACCAAAACATTACCATAGGCTTGGAATCCAATCAAGTCTCCACTTCAAAAAAATGAACATAATGCAATAATCAAGGGGTCTTTAAACAAGGTGTAACAAGTCTTAGGTTAGGGTAGGGAAAAGGCCAAGAAAGGTTCAAAATACCAAAACAAGAGATCAAAATAATTAAGAACAATCCAAGAATTAACATGAAGCGTAATGAAACAAGGAAAAACAATAGATGAAAGACAATTGAAATGATCAAATTTTCCTTAATTTTTTGTTGTTGTTCAAAATAGTGAACAATTGGTTTTTTCTCGATTTTTTTAAACAACGATTTTTTTGTGGAACAAGAGTGATACAAGATCTCATGTCTCAATAAGAGTGTGAAAAGAGAGGAAAAGAAAGGCTTCGGGTTTAATTATGAAGTTTAAAACAAAGAAATGGAAATAGACTCAAATGTGGTTCACTAGTGGATATGTAAACGGGTAGGCTTTTTGAGAAAAGTGGGTTTATCCTAGGTGCCCCTATCACATTAAAACATTACGTTCAACATGTTGTCTCGATATGCATTGTGATTACAAGTTCTAGAATATCCTAATTAGTACGACACACTCAAGTCAAACAATGAGCAAGATAGAAAATGTATGCTCGTTAGGCTCAAATCTCACAAGAAATGTTTATATGCACTGAGTCAAGTTCATCTCTATCGAAAAAGCATGAAATATCAATACTTAACAAAACAATTCACCAGCTATACCAATCACCAATCACGTAAATTAAATTTGATCAAAACATGATCATAATCCAAAAGGAAGCAAGAGTACAAAGTGAAGTTCAAGACTAGCAACCAATGATCCCAACACATCAATATCAGAATAACTCAATTTCAAACAATCAAACAAGTCAAGGAAAAATTTGACGACATGCTTATCTTTCCCCCTCACTTAATCTGTTTTGTC